AAATTAGTATAAAAAGAAAAAAATTAAAAAAAAGATGTAAATTCAACAAAAAAAACAAACTGCTAAAATAAAATTGAAATTATAAAAAGATTAAAACAAGAGACTTTAAAAACAAAAAAAAATAACAAAGGTATTATAACAAACAGTATTTAAATCATTAATTCAGTATTTTGTGATATTCATAGAAATATTTGTAATAAAGCAATATATAGAAAAAGAAAGAATCAAAATAGAAAATCAAAAGTACAAGTCTAGCAAAAAGAGAAAATCTTAAAACAAAGACAACAAAAAATTAATAAAAGAAAAGAAATATTAGAACAAACAATCAAGAAGCAAAATATAGAAGGTCTTATAAAAAAAACTCTAAGCAAAATAGCAAAAGAATTAAAACCAAGAATGTTAATAATAATATTAATAGAAAACAAAAGTCTTAGTAATATACAAGTCAAAAACTCACAGAGAAATATAATAGATTGGGTAATAAAAATTATATATTTACTAAGCAGAAAAAGTACATGAAACAATATTAAAAATTAAAAAAAAGAAAAAGATCTATAATAAAAAAGATTTAGTAAACTAAATTTTATACAACTACTAATATATTTAGAAAAAAACATAATCTAAATTAAAATAGCAGAAAAAATAGTTGAGTTAAGAATTAAAAAAAAAAAGATATATTATTAGAAATAGCAAAAGATATCTTATTAGAATTATTAGAAAATCAAAAAGAATATATCAAGATACAAAAGAAGTTTTTAGAAAAAAAACCAAGTCCAAAGAGTAAAAAAAAAAAAGGAAAATACTTGACTCTAAAAAAAAAAAATACAAGTAAACTAATCAAAAACTAAAAACCAAAAGACTAAAAATAGCTTTAAAGAAATTAAAAAAGAAGAAGACCTTTAGAAAAATACTCTTAAAAAAGACTTGTAGAATAATTGTCTTAAAAAAAGGAAAAGAATACAAATCCATAAAATAGAAAAAAAAAAAAAAAGCAAGAAAAGACTTTTGAGAGCTATGTAATCTATCAAAAAGAGCAGAATAAACAAGAAAAATAGAAAAAGGAAGCTTATATATTGTATAATCAAAAGTATTTTAACAATAGTATTGTAATGAAAATAAAAATAAATTAGATATTAGCAGTCATGCAGCACAACTCTCTCTGATGATTATTCATACCAAACATTCGACTAACAAAAATAAAAAACTTGTTGAAAGTAGAAGAGACAACTAAAATAATAGTTTTTACAGAGGTTAAGGCTTATAGTTGTTTTCTTCCAAACTTTTTTGTATATTTAGCAAGCAAGTTAAAAGTGTTCTTATATAAAATAACTAGCAGAAAGTGGTGCTCTTGTGTAAAAAATTTTAATAGAAGCCTAGCTTCTGTTGACGAAGTTAAAGTTAGTTGGTCTGAAGAAGAACAACAAGCAAGTTTTCAACATACTCTTTATCAAAGTTTAAAACTACTTGCAAACCAAAACCCTATACCAAGACCCACTCTCTGTTCTTTACAAAATTTTAACAAAAAGTAAAAAATTTGGTGTATTCTATCAAAAGATTGACAACAACAATCGATGCTAAAAAAAAAAAGTCACATACAAAAGTACATGTCTACTTTGAGATGAAAAATGTCTGATTGGTTACCTCAAGAGGTTGTAGTATTTACACTGAGATTGCCAGAAGAGAAACAATCTCAGCAATCATCAACTTTGCCCAGGAACAAGTATACGTATGAGAATACATTGCAGGATATTATACTGATACCTAGTAGGACTGCAAGAGAAATTTTGACTTGGATCTCTACTCAAGAATAGATATTTCATATATCTTAATATAGATATAAATAACTAGTATAGAGTTTAAACTAGTTTATTTAGTAGTACTATATAATTTTTACAATTCAGCATAAATTTAATAGTGCTATTTCTGTTTTTTTTTTATTTTGTTTTTTTTTTTATATGTTACTTTGGTTTTTTTGTTTAAGTAGATTAAATTTAGATACCAAGATATCACCTTTTTTATCTTTTTTGCTCTTTGATTTTGTGTTTGTATTTCATTTTGTAAAAAGAAAAGATAATACTGATACAGTTTGTAGCACTGGTCAATAATCAAAGAATTTATATTTCTAGTAAGTTAGGGGCCCGGAAGGAAGTAAATAGCCACTAGGCAATATTGCACCTGGGTTTTTAAATCGAGTAAGTTACTTGTTGCAGATAAAAAAATAACTATAGTCAAGAATTCTTGTAATTTTTGCTTGGTTTATATCTTAATAAAACAGTAGTAGGACATGCTGAAAAAAAAATATATATTAGTAGTCATAAAACATATCCTTTAATAAAGGTTTCCATTGCAGTTACTTATAAATCAAATAAGTTGATACACTAAATTTATATGTAAATTTTTGTAAAAAAAGCATTAAAATTTAATTTATTTAAAAAAATACATACAAAATCTTCTTGAAATTTTAAATATATATTTTTTGTTATTTTATAATCTCTTGTTAAAAGCCTTATTTCTTAATTGTTAGTAGTTCAAAACTAATCTTCTGCTAAAGTTAATATATTTTTTGTCTTTATGACCTCTGTAAAGTTAAATCAAATAACTGACTTATCTACTATAAAACAATTATATGATTGGTTAAAATAATCTTTTAATAATTAAAGAAAATTTTACTAAACAAAGATTTTTTTGCTTCTAAGTAAAGTTGTAAAAAGAGGTTCTTCTAGTTTTAATAGTAGTTAGATCATTAAAATCAGTTTGATAGATCTCAAGATACTTGGGGTTAAAGGAGTGAATATAGAAATCTGCAAATTAATAGTTACACAAAGTATTATTGTGAATACTTTGTATAACCATCAATTTGCAAATCTCTATATTCACTTCTTTAACCCTAAGTATCTTGGGATCTACTAAACTAATTTTAATGATTTAACTACTATTAGAACCAGAAGAACCTCCTCTACAACTTTACTTAGAAATAAAAGAAGCCGTTGCTTAGTAAAATTTTCTTTAATTTTTAAAAGATTATTTTAACCAATCATATAATTGCTTTAGGTAATTCAGATTTTTGATCTAAAGAATATAGTAAGAATTGTCCAACTTTAGTAAAAGATTAGTTTTGAACTATCAGTGATTAAGAAACAAGGCTTTTAATAAGAAATTATAAAATAGCAAAGAATATACAGTCTGACCTCTCTAAATGCAACCTTTATAAATGCAACCTCTATAAATACAATACCTCTTTAAATGCACGTTTTTGTCTTGGCTGTATGAAATCATTAGTGCTAAATGCACATTCTATATTCTGCAAATACACGTTCACTCAAAAGATTTTTTATATCATACTAACCTTCCTAAATACACGTAGCCAATCAGAAGTCAGTATTTAAGTTTGTTATACAAGTCTGCAAATTAAATATTAAAAGCTACAATTTGATTGGCTCCCTCTAAATGCAAACCTCTCTAAATACATGTTTTAGGCTAGTCTGTATACGTTGCATTTATGGAGGTTTGACTATACTATATATTTAAAGTTTCAAGAAGGGTTTATATATATTTTTTTAATTTAATGCTTTTTTTGTAAAAATTTACATATAAAATTTAGTACATTACTTCATTTGACCTGCAATAATAAGGACATATTCTGTAACTGTTAGAATAGAATTAAAAATAAATTATAGTTGCAAAAAAAAAGATAAAGTAAAAAGAAATTAGTTATTTGAATATAATTAAAAATTCTTTTAAAGCAAAACTATCTTGTTATAGTTTACTAGCTAGCTTGATGCAGTCTCTAATATAGGCAATAGTTTTAACTAGTATAGCAGACCATACTTGAGTATCTACAGTATAAAAAAAACTAAATGATATCATATTAATAATTTAGATAGTTATAATATATACTTGTATATATACTTTGATCTAATAAAAGATACTGATGACTATTAATAGTTTCAATATATATATATATATATTATTATAAAATTTATATTTTGATTTAACAAGAATTTAACTCTAAATTTAATTATATTCTAATTTCAACTTCTATTATAATACTGTATATTGTTTTTTAAAAATAACTTTAATAATTAATATTTGGTATACAAAGTAAAAATATTTAATATAATTTAAATAGATTCTTTTCTTGTAAAAATTCTTTTTTCATTGTAGAAGAATTAAATTAAATTTTAATAAAGTCAGAGACATGGTCTTACCATTAACATTCAAAAAAAAAATATCTAGTATTCTAAAAAACTCTAACCTTTATTTTAAATAAATCTTAAACTCTAAAATTTAATTTTAGCTTTAAAATTTAAAATAAATTTTTTTATAGATTATATAAAAGAAAATTTATTAGTTTACACATAGTGTTTATACACGGGTATAATTTATTGAATTACATATTCGTGCGACATACTAATCAAAACAATTTTTACAAACGAAAAATTAAACCCTCACTTATGGTTAGGGTAAGGGTGGGTTTGGGATCAAGCAAGGTATAGATTATACCAAAATTTCGCAAGGAATTTTTTTTGTTAGGAGTCAAAAGGTGGTTTCATAATCAACATTTTGAGATATCTATATTGCCCGTGTACATACACCCCGTGTACAAATAGAAATTGCCTATATAAAAATAATTAAAAATATATAGTAAATTTCATCTTCAGTAAATATTAAATAAATTCAAAATAAATTATATAAATTATAATCTAATTATTTAATACATAAATAAATACTCTTAAATATACTATATATATTTTATTGATCACTATATACACATATACATAAAAATTAAAATTTTATTAAATAAATCGATATTGGCATATTAAATAAAATTATTCAAAAAAAATCAAAATATATATATTCTAAAAGTTTATTAATACATATATTTTTATTTTTTTTTATATTTTACAAAATATTGAAACCAGGTTCTAAGGGTAGAAAATATATATAATGATTACATGGATTTTTTACTCGTGAATTTTTCTAGGTGGTACAAGATTTTCCTAAGTAGTACAATATAAATAACATGAATATAATTGATCAACTATTGTAAAATGATCTACTATATTTTCACTATTAAAAGCAAATTGTGGATCCTCTACCCTTAAAATTTGGTTTTGAACCAAACCAGGTTTAACTTAGGTTTGGATCTTATATAAAAACCTGAATCTTGGCTTTTTAATTTGGAACCTAAAGGTTTTAAATTTAAACCCTAAACTTTACCATCCCTAATCACACGCAAGCCATCGATTATTCAATGATTGTCGTGCAGTTGCTCGTTTATCCGGATTCAAATCTAACATTGGTAATAGGAAATCAGCCATAAATTCTGCATCATTACGTGGAAGTAAATACTTTTCTTGGAGAACGTCCGCTAGTTTCCAGTGACGAAGTTTATGAATGTGCCGAAGTTCCCCTTAAGTCAGGATAGTGCAAGTTAAATATATTATCATATATTCATGATTCCGGAGTTGTTGAATAATCACACTACCTTTTTTATTAAATATGTCACTTGAATATTTTCCGTTCAAAGCCAAGTGTTTCGGAAAAGAACCTAATAATTCCATAATTTGGGCTATATGGTCTGTAAAAAAAAGTAATAGATAATAATGAGTAAAATAATAATGAGTAAAAATAAATAATAATAAAATAATAATAATAATAATAATAAAATTCATAAATTGCATCCCATACCGTCATCCTTATTATAACGCGAACCAGCCTGTGGATCGAATAAGTAGTCCCCTGTAAAAAGTTCAAATACCTAAACACGATATAGGATATCATTTAATGATATAATTACAAATGAAAGTTGTGAAAGTTATAGTGAAACGTACCATACAAGCCATGCTCCAGATGTCAGCACTGGCACCCCAACGACTACCTAGAATGACTTCCGGACTTCTATATTGTCTTGTCTGAATGTCGTTGGTGAAGTGGTGATCTACCCAACAAGCATTACCGAGGTCGGCGATTTTGACAGTAATTATGTCAGGTGTGGTCCATTTTGCAGATGTAGATGGTTTTCGTGATAATTTCGTCTGAGAAGTAGGAGAAATGGCTATGGAGGATGACGAATTATTATGCGAGATAGAATCAACAAGAGAAATTTCATTAAGGTTACGTTCCAAAATATCTCTAAAAATGAAGAAAAAAATTTTTTTATTATTAAATTAAATTAAACGGAAATTTTTTTTTTTCTATTAAATTAAATGAATAATTTTAAGTTTTGCTAAAGGGAAAATAGGCTTACGTTGTTGATTCCCGTGTATCACAAACGATATCATCAGTTTTATCACAATTATCTTCAACTCTGCTTACACCATCTCCCTCATCGTCAACATCTTTATCTTCTTCAACACCATTTGTTGATGATTCATTTTCTTTTGCAGCTTTCTTCTTCAATTTTTGTTTTAATTTTTTTTTCTGATTTTTAGACATACCTTGTGTTGACAATATGGTCTGTTCAGACGCATTTATAGATTTTTGAGACGGAGACCCTGAAGATGGTGATGACAGAGGCTGACTTCCAGTAATACGAAGATGTAGGTCTTTTTTAGAAGTAGCCGGTGGTTTTACACCATTCAAAAGTTCATTCTTAACAACCTCCTCTACGTTATCGATACAAACCAATACATTTTCTGGTTTTAAATCAGTATGGATTATCCCACATTCCCTATGCATATAATCTAATCCCATAAGTACTTGTTTAGTTATTTGTTTTACCAAATGAGCAGGAACACCACGATGATTATATCGTTTTATTAAGCTTAATAAATTTTCTCCTAATACTTCGAATACCATACAAACGTGGACACCATTCGGACCGCGATGTTGAAAATGATCCAAAAGTTCAACAACATGCCGCCGGCCTGGAGCATCCGGATTTGCGTCAACGATTTTTTGTAGTAATTTAATTTCGTCTAAAGCGGTTTCTGTATAGTGAGGTGCCGATTTGACTACTTTAAGAGCGACATGTCGATTACGACTTGAATAAAAATAAAATTCAATACATGTGAATATAAAATTGTTAGAAATTTTTGAATAAATTGAATTAAAAATAATACCTCGAATAGATTTGAAAAGTTCAACAAACAATTGACAATTTTGCCTTACCGATTGTCTCTAGCAAGCCAGACTGTCGAAAAATGGCCCCAACCTAGCTTTCGTATGACAACATATCGACCTTCGTTAAAAATATCACCAATTTTTACCGGATGATAACCTCCTTTACAATAATCGTCCAAATCTTCTTCATCTTCAGTTAATAATTTTTCAGGTTCTTCTTCAGCAGAAGAGGAGGCAGCAGAAGAAGTTGAACGCTCTTCGTTAGCTTGTTGACGCGAGTTTGTAGAAAGTGGATGTGGATAACTGAGAAGGAGTAATCATCATAAAAGAATTAATTCGAATGCGAGATTAAGAAGCTTAAAAGGAATAAATTAAAACCGGTGACACATAAGAAGGTAAAAATCATTAATGTTGAGAGCTTACATTTTATTTGGAGACGTTGGAGAGAGTACAGGTGACATTGGTGAGTGTTTAGTCGGTGTGCTAGGCATGTTACTAGGAGAATTTACAACTGGTTCAGTACGTCTACGTCTCTTTTTCTGTGCGATAGCTTGCTTGGTTTTCGGGGCGACAGCTTGTCTTCGTTTATCAGACATTTGATCACACACACCGAACCCAAGCACAGAGGGAGTCCTTGCCTTGATTTATGGCGTATTGTCTGTCCAATTGATAAGTGGATGGCTGACATTCACGTTTTTTTTGATAGGAATGATAAGTGCGATTATGATTGCAGAAAAGCCGTGCCACATAATCGTGTAACAGGTGACGCAAATCCCCAAACCTTGGTCAAGAAAGGAACTCATGATCAGGATTACAAGTTTTTATTGCAATTGTCAAGAGAAAGATGCAGACATCTGCAGGCAATCTTAAATAATCACAAATTTACAATTTCGGTGTTATAGTGATAACAAAATTGTGAATTTTTTTTTCTCTCATTCATAATTAATTTTTATTAATTATTATTAATTGTTGGGTGACAAAGAAATCCCTTACTTAAGCGTTATTTATCGCACTATTACGTATATTATATATAATATATATATCATTATTATTATATGCAAGGATTGACTATACGTTAGTTATGCACGCACGCACGCACGCACATTGTCACTTGGCTGTTTGGCCTAGGGATGTTAATCGGTCCTTTGGGATCGAATCCTGACCGGTCCGGTCCGATCCTTCAAGGATTGGTAGGGATTCGATCCTTAAATCACATGAAAACACAATACATTTTATAAGACTTAGATTCTGAATTGAATTATTATAACAATACAAAATTAATTTGATTGGATTAACTTATTTGATGAATTCAATTCAGTATCTGATGCAGGATCTAAGTCATATAAAATGTATTGTATTTTCAAGACCGAATCCAGGACCGTCTTTTTAGATCCTAGGATCGGACCGGACTGGATTCGCAATTTAACATCCCTAGTTTGGCCATGGCTAATGGCCCATTGGCTGTTGTCCAATTGGCAAAAAATTGCCACACGTTACGTGTACAGATTTTTCTGCGCCCAAAGAAAGTCGAAGAAAGTCGTACATATCACGTGAGTATATTGGTAAGATGGTAATACTGCTGTACCGTGAAGTCCGTGTTAACGTTAAAATAAGCTTCTTAGTCATATGCATAACAACTAACCCAGTAAACCTGGTCTTTTTAAAAAAAAATGAGTGAAACTACTGATTGGGACAGTGTTACTGTAATTCGAAAACGTGCTGAGCATGCCAAAGTCACTAAAGGTGACGCTGCGATTAACGCAGCTCGTCGCGCGGGTGCCGTTGTTGGGATAGAACGTAAAGGTAAGCGTTCAAAAAACCCGCAACTAAAGCAATTCCTTTAAAAGCTTGGTGTTAAACAATTGTCCTATTCTTTTGTTTAGTTGCTGGTGGAACTAATAAAGGTCATTCTAGCACCGATCATCAAAAGATTGCCAAACTTGATCGGGAGAATGAGGTTGCACCACCACCAAAGATTAGTTTGTCGGTTGGAAAAGCCATTCAACAAGCTAGACAAGCTAAAGGTCTTACTCAAAAGGACCTAGGCCAGAAGATTAATGAAAAAGCAAATATTGTAGGTTATTTCCACTTTGCTTTCTTTTAGTTTTGTTAACAGAATGAAATGTATATTTAAATTCTCTTTTCTCGGTTGATAAAGATTAATGATTATGAAATGGGTCGCACTATCCCAAACCAACAAGTTCTTTCAAAACTGGAGCGGGTGCTAGGCATCAAACTACGCGGTAAAAACAGTGAGTATTTATTTAGCATTATTGATCTTTCCATTTTTTTTCTAATTTATATATTAATTTTCTTCGATATTGGTTCTAGTTGGTGAACCTCTTCACTCTAAATGAAGTTTGCACATGTATATTATCAAAAGAACAATCCATTTGTCTAATCCATTCATTTTATTCACCGAATTGAGTACACCGGAATGACCTTTTTTTACGTTTGCGTGTGTTAAAGTTTGTATTAACCATCTTGCATAAAAGATTTTCCCGGAGGACTTTCTTGGAGGGTTGGGGTCATGATTCTATTAGTATCTAACGAATTTAACGAATAACTAGCATCGGCTTTTTTTTCCTTTTTTTTTTTTTTTTTTTAAGCTCTTGTGCCGTTATCACTAAAACCAAAACTCGTTTTTTTTTTTTTTACTTAAAATAATTTTAAGATAGTATTTTTTTTTTTTATCTGCGCACATTAGGTTGGTTGTATGTAATAGCAAAAATACATAGAACTAAATAATAAAGAATGTGCAAATTATAATTTATTATCTATGATTTTGTACTATTTATTCTGTATTACTTATTTCTTTTTCATTAATTTTTTCAACCATTTGCCTTAACAAACTTGTCACCTTAACAATATTCTTTCCATACTTTGCCGATATCGGAACAATTTCGAGCACTTGTTCGTTTTCTATTTCAAACTCTTTTGCTTTGCCTAACATTATGGGTAAATTTCGCTCTGCACTCTCGGTAATATCAGCTTTATTAGCTACTATCAATGATGGCCTTTTTGTTAATCTTTTTTGATATAATTCAAGTTCATTTCGCAATACTTTCCAATCTTCCCACGGAGCTGTTCCTGATAAATCAATAACATATACTAAAATTCTGGATCTTTCGATGTGTCGAAGAAATGAGTGTCCAAGTCCAATGTTTTTGTGAGCTCCGTGAATTATACCAGGTATGTCTGCAACTTTTAGTTGATATCGATCCGCATAATCCACCGTACCAATAAATGGATTAAGTGTTGTAAAAGGATATGGTGCAATTTTGGGACGTGCATTAGAAATGGCTGTTAGTAATGTAGATTTTCCTGCATTTGGAAGACCTACAAGACCCGCATCTGCTATTGTTTTAATTTCAAGTTCAAGAAATCTATGTTGTCCCTCGATACCCCGTGTTGCAAATTTTGGTGATCTATTTGCGTTTGTTTGGAAATAGGGATTTCCTTTTCCACCTAAACCTCCATGCGCAACGATATATTGTTCGTTCGGCACAGTTAAATCTAATGTGAGTTTATTTTCTGCATCCTTTTTTTTTTGTAACTGACGAAATCGATCTTCTTCTTTAATCATCCTCTCGGCTTCAAAAAAAAATGTACTTTGTGGATTTTTTTCATCGTATTTTGGGTAATGAACCCATGCGGCTTTGCGCCGTTTTTCTATCAATGTCTCTTCATTAATTTCATCGTTAATGTCATTCTCATTAATCAATGTCTTTGATGGTGGATCGATTTCTTTAATAACCGTTCCCAAAGGTATTGGGATTATTATATCTTTACCAGCTGATCCATTTTTCATGTGGCCTTTTCCATTTTCGCCCCTACCTCCAACGAGTTGTCTTTTGACTGAATGCAGTGATGAATGATTTGCCGATGCGACAAATATTACGTGACCACCTCTACCTCCATTACCACCTGAAGGTGGACCTCGTGACTTAAATTTTTCACGCAGAAATGCTACACAACCATCACCACCATGGCCTCCCTTAACTGAGACATGCATATAATCTACGAATTGCCGTGTCTTTAATGATATTTTTTTTTTTTGTTTTTAGACATAGAGACAGAGGAGCATTAGTGCTCAGATCTGGACAAGCTTTTTCGAAAATCAACTGATAACGAATACCGTAAAAGGTTACCGGATGTAGTATTTGTAAAAGACCCGGGTATAAATCAATGGCAGTTTTGGTAATCACTGACTAGAATATTCGGGATCTAAAACAAAATACTTGACAGAAAAATTTATGAAATAACCAGGTATATTATATAGCTGAGGAACCCTATTGCAGTCAAAATTTAAAGCGCATACACGCTTTTCATTTATAGAAGAACTTTAATTTTTAAAAAGAGCCGCTCATGATTAATGAGATACGGTAGTATATTTTTGTTCCTAATGGGTTAGTATATCCTCTTCATATTATACTTCCACACAATATACTTCCTGCCATACAATATACCCGAGATATAAATCAAATGTTTATTTACGTGTAAAATACCCGATTGCGTTTTACGGTAATCTCAGATAAATTTTGATTGACGAATAGAAAAGCTTATCCTGATCCAAGTCCTAAAAGAAATATAGCTTCTAAAACATAAACCTTATCTCGAAATTTATACTGTATACTTCGGTCAACTACTCTGATACTTGATTTCATTGCATCCTAACCGTTCGATAATATGTTCCTTCTAAGTTAATAATTATCGAAGAAACCGAAGAAAATGTTTATATACAGAAAATGGATATTTTTTTTTTTGTGATCGAAATCGAATAATAAAGATCGTATATAAGTACCTCGGTAAGATTAAATTTACTTGGGTAATGTTATTTTACAGAAGTGTTTGTTAGGTTACCTTTTTTGATTCGAATCGATCGTTATATTTAGGTAATTCTGTAATTAGGGCATATGCATCGATTTGTTTTGACCCCAAAATCAGCCAATCAAGATTGAGAATATCGAAAATTTTTCTATTGATTAACAACCTTTAGAGATACTAATTACCGTATAAACTCGAAATAACGCCCACCTGCGCGTTATTTCGTGTACGCCTATGTGCGTTATTTCGAAATAAACACTTCTTAATTATAATAAGTATAGTAAAAAATAAATTTTGTTGGGGATGATGCTAAAACAATTTAGAAATATCCCTACTAAAATCTATACTTTTTTATTATAAACACTAGCCCTAAACCCTAAAAAAAATATCCCTTAAAAATTTTAAAATTTCATATTAAAATAAGTCGATGTTTCATCATCCTATTTCATCCCCAACAAAAATTGGCATTTACTAATTTTCACCCCCTTTTCTACGATTCCTATTGGCCGCAGGTAGATCTCATCTCCGATTGGGCGAAATCGTCAACGTGACCTTCCGCACTCATTTCCGACTTTCATTTCCGAATTTATTTCCGACTCTTATTTTATTGGCTAATCCTAACTTGTGCATGTATCTTGTACGAAAAAAAAGATCTTTTCTCGTTACTTGCATACTTCCCGATTTTCTCTTTGTTACTTGCATACTTCCCGATTTAACAAGCATAATTATTTTAAATTGGAATGTAAAAACGATTAATTAGGAATAAACTATAATTAAAACGAAACGAACCTAAGGCCAAAATTAAGATATTTAAAAAAAATTATACGTATATAGTTGAGTAACCGGGTGGACATTATAAATTAAAAAAAAAAAAAAGTCGAGTGGCAGGTCTGTATTATTATAATTTTAAGTTATAAATTAATTTTGTGAAGTCTAATTTTTTTTTTTTTTTTTTTTTTTTTTATATAGTATATGAAAGCGAATTTATTAAAATTTTTTTTTATTACTCTAATATTACAGAATTAGGACATAAAGAATAACTTATATATTATATCTTATTTTTTATGTAAACTTAGGATTATTTAAAAGAAGTTACTCGGGTAATGTACGTGTCACAATTTATATTATACTGTTTAAATTAAAATCTATCTTGTTTTTTAAATTTTGTATTTGGTGTCATTGCCGGTAATTAATGGTACAGTGTCGATTCTTGCAATTCTCGCTCTTTCCACTTGGACTGCTTGTTGGAGGGTAAGCCGTAGACTATGAATATCCTGATTATTTTTATCCTTCCATTCTGTAATTATTGCTGCAAGTTCTTCTTGTAATTTTTTTAACTCATTTTTTCCTGTATTAGTATAATTCGCAGGTAAATGAGAAGAGCTGGAAGAACTAAAAATATTAATTTTCGTGGGATATTGAAGTTGGATATGTTGATTATTTTCTTCTATGTTATCTTCAGAGATCCGAAGTCGACTTAGCACGGCAAATATATGCTTGCATGGTAATTGGCGTACCTTAAAATCGCGGCAAGTACAAACATATGAATTAGTGTTTAAATTATCTTCTTCATTACTTCTTCTAATAGTATATTCAATATCAGCATTAGTCATAGAACGGATAATCCAAGTATCTGAGCTAAGATTGTAAATATTGTTCTGATTAATTTTTTTTGCTCCTTCAATCTTTCAGAGTCGTTGTTGTCATCTTCGTGGATTCATCCTTCCGATATTCAAGTCATCCAAGAAAACAGAGAAATCCAAATCTCGGAGTACTATTTCAACAAGTAGGTATACTTCACCATCGAGGCGTTGTCTAGGTTTTCCTCTCATATATACATATTTTAATTTTCGATGGAATGCCTTTATTAAATTATTTGTATCCATCATGTCTCTAGCAACCCCTCATAGGCAAACCATTCATTTATCGTACTTGGGCTTTCATCACTTTTTAAAATATTCCGTGAATTTATTTGTAGTTTCTATATTTATTTGTTTCCATTTATTAATTGCTTCTGTAACCTGTTTTAACGCCTCTGAATCATCTCATTCTTCAGTTTTCATTAGCTGTCAAAGATCTTTCCAAATAATTACTTTGTGTGGATCTTTATTAACGCCACAATGATGATTTAGATTGCGACGCCAGGAGCACAAAACATGGAAATAGTATAATAATACACTGCTATTCGGGAAGCATTCTTTAACAGTTTTGATCTCTTCACCAACATCATCGACTATGAAGATATCTGGATTCCATTCTCTATTTTTTTCTTTAAAAAATCAAGCCAAGCTTTTAAGGTAACTGATCGCTTGAATTTGCTAATTAAAAACACGATCGGGTATCTACTTCCTGTTGCTGGATGTTGAATAATGAGCATAAAGAGGTGGTATTCATGTTGATTCAACTCATGCGTACCATCCAAGCATATCATCCTTGCAAATTTTATTAGTTCTTTTTGCTTTTCTGTTTGAAAAACAAACATGAACCCTCTATCATTGTCACCGCAATTAAGTAAGCAACACCTACTCGCGCAATTTAATTTCTCTTTCCACTTTATTAAAGAATTTAATTTATCATTATCAAGATAGGCACACAATTTCATTGTATTATGTATAATAGTATAAATATCATCTTTTGTTACTAGACCATCTTGTAATGATTGAATATTTTGAGATTCTGTTCCCTGTTCCAAAAGCTGCACACGATCTTGAAGTTTGATTCTCTGGTATCACAAAAGTTGTTGGATACTATGAGTATCACTCCCTCTAAAGCATGTTGCTTAATGAAATGGCGTATATTGTCAGACAGGGGAAGCGTGCATAAATCTAATAGCCGGCTGGGTTGATGATTAATATGTTTATAATAGTGTTGCAGGATTATTATTGTTGAATCAACTGGGTGTGCTATTTTAATGTAATTTTTGCATCCACATTTTTTCGTTTCTTTTTGTGAAAGTTGTGACTTTTTACTAAAATCCTTCCCAGCAGCACTACTGTATGTGCTATAATGATGGCAGTGCTATCGTTTTGTTCACCTATATTTTTTTTTAGGGCCACTTTCTTTTATTCTATGTTTATGTCTAACATAATTAAACCCTGCCTTCTCAAGATTTTTGATTCATTCTTCATAACTATCAACAGATAAATGAAATGTTTTGGATTTTTCTGTATTATTTAAATCCTGTGGGGGTTTGTCATCATTTTTCATTTCTCATACTTCCCCAACACCGTCTGTTGCATCCATAATTCTATCAAGAGTATTATCAAGTTTATTGTCACTAATATCCATGTCAGACTCCTCATCAATATCAAAGATTGCATCAATGTCAATTAACACTAATTTGTCAATTTCGTTGTTAAGCATCGCTTCAGTAATGACGACATGAGAAGAATTAAAAAGATTAAGATAATGGAAAATTTTTCTTATAATAATTTATTCAAAGATATAGATAAAAAACACTAATTTATTCAACTTGAAGATGATTTAACGCTACAATTTCTTCTTTTTATAATTTTTAGATGTGATTAGTAAAAAAAGGCTTTCATTACATTTTGCTAGTCTAGACTATTATTTCGACAAATTATTTGGGAATTTTGGCATACATAGCAGCAATTTCATTATTTTTTATTCACAATATTTGATCTTTAATTTTTTTCTCACAAATTCAGGATGTATTGCATAGACCAACCGACTCTTTACAAATTTGGCATACATATTAGAATGATTTTTTCCTCACGAATTCAACACGCATTGATTTTATATTGTATAGACTTAGAACTGCACTTAGAGATCTTTACGCATTAGATATTCATTTACGTGTAGGGGATAAGAGATGTGAAAATATTAATTTCGCTAATATAAATTTGATTTTTAATTTTCTCACGAATTAGCAATTCAACATGCATTTACATAGTATAGAATTTGGCATGCATATTATAGGTCGATTTTTTCATCACGAATTCAACATGCATTTATTTTATTGTATGGACTTAGAACTGCGCTTAGAGATCTTTATGCATAGGTATCCATTTATGTGTATAGGATAAGGGCTATGGAAATATATATTAATTTTGCTAATGCAAATAATTTATTAATTAATAAATAAATAGTAAATAATTAATAAAAAAAAATAGTAACTATTTTTGTTAATTGATAATTAAATATATACATATTAGAATAACTTGAATT